GTTGCTTGGCTGTACGATGTTATGCTGCGTGTTCTCGAATTCGTTGCGTTTTTCAAATCGATTTCTGTTGTACTTCTACACCAATTCAAACAATGGAATTTTAATCGTTTTATCTTTCGTCGTGGTAGCCTATCCCATAGATATTTTCATTCAAGTTTGTATTGTATCATTACGTTTTCATCTTGTTATTTTTAATAATCCACTTTTTACTGTTCCCGTTTAACTTTTGTTTTAAGCATTGAAGTATTAATTAATACAATCAAGATCTTTGCAAACGATCATTTCGTTTTTAATTTAGATATTCTTCCCTTTGATTTCAATGATCGTAAGTGTCCTAACGTTTACCTTTCAACAGGTAGTCGATTTAATTGTTCAATACAAATTAAATCACTAAAACAAAAATAAAGAGACGCAAATGAAAATCTTATTAAATTTGATGACAAAACTTTCGGAGATTTTTGTGCGTTCTTTAGAAAAAAGAAAAATCGTAAATCCTTTTTCTTTTTTTTTTTCTTTCTCTGTTATATTAACTATCAGTTGATCGTTTTTTACGTTTGAGGAGAGCTTACAAAAATTCAAATTCAATCCTAAGCTGTAATCTCGTTTAGCGAAGCGAAAAACTCTCATAGGGATGATCGGATCTTTTAAAAGAAGATTTCGTTTGATTTCGGCTTTTGCCTGATCGAGAAATCTTTTTATTCGACACTTTTTTTTTTATTCTCTTTGCTCCTCCACACTTTCCTAAGAATGGTGATCGTCGAGTTCATCTTCTTCAAGCTTTTCTCTTTTTAGCTTCTTTCTTTGATTCCGGGGAATATTCTTCGTTAGATTGGATTTTTTTTTTCTCTCTTTTTTTCTTCGCGGATATTATATTAAATCGACATATTTTCAAGAATTTTCTTCCGTTATATTTTCGATCAGAAATTCGTGCTCTCTCTCTCTCTCTCTCTCTCTCTCTCTCTCTCTCTCTCTCTCTCTCTTTATTGTCTTGCAAATTTATTTTTTATTTTGTTATTGGTGCCCCTTAAAATATGCATCACTCGATACACCGTTAATAATGTTGCTTGCGAACGCCATCTATCAATATGCAACATCCCTTCGGAATATGCAACTGCAGTTTACAGATGTGTATGACGGTGTTACATACTGTGGGGGGATGTTTCATACTGATAGATGGCGCTCGCAAGCAACATTATCGACTATGTATGGAGGGTTGCTCTTATTCAGGCGTTAGTTTAAAATCAATTATTTTTATATTTATATTATTCATTTTATTCTCGTTTACTATAGAAATATATTTTTCCTTTATTTAAATAATTTCATATTAATTCTCATATTAAATTCTCTAGTTTCTTATATGATTTCATTTCTCGAAGGATCCTTAGGAATTTTGCATCACAGTACACTGTGATAATTATCTCTCTCTTACTCTCGCTTATATTTGATACTATGTAAGTATGTTCGTGACATTTCAAGGAAGAAACATCTCCCTATTCATTTCTACATTCTTGCAAGATGTCATTTTATTAACGACAATAAGTTTGCACATACGTTAACACAGCACATGTTTAACTTTCATAAATTAATTAACTTATATTTTAATATCTTTAGAAATTAGAAATTAGAAATTAAAAATTCGATTGGATTTTCTTAATTATTATTTTACTTTTAATTTTTTTATTTTTTAATGACTTTTTCATCTCGATCGTAATCGAGATAATATCATAATTTTTCTCGGATACTGGCTTAATCTCGAAGATAAAACGTTACGTAAGAATATCCCGATGGGATCGATAAAATTGTTTTAAACAAAAGTTAAAATGTGAGAAGTAGAAAATAAAATAAACTAACTTGTAACCAGGATCATTAATTATAACGTCGAAAAATTTTTATTTTTTCATGTTTTTTTTTTCCTTCCTTTTGTCTTCCTGTACCTAAGTTTAAATCATCGTATTATTTAGCGAAAAATTTGAGAAAGAAAGTTCGAATCTGTTCTTCTAATGATTTACGCTTTGGGATAATTAAACGTTACGTCGAATAATCCGTGGGATGTTCGCTTGTAACGTAAGACCCGATTGTAGCTTAATGAGCTCGATCGTTACCTGACTCAGTCAATCACTCTCTTTCTCTTACTATCTTTCTCATGAGATTAAAGAAAGAAAAAAAGTTTGGTCAATTATTCATCGGATCTTTTTCTCGATAATACGATCTGCGAATGACATTTTTAACGAATCATAATTTTAAACTATTAAATATAATCTCGGAGAAAACATATTTTTTTTTCATTCGACGACGAACACACAATATCCGTATTAATATATATGAGTTTCAAAGGGAAAATTGAAGACAGTTAATAAATTTTGATGAACAAATTTATTTGATCTTGTTGAACGTTTCGTCCCTTACTGGGAACTTCCTCAGCAACTCGATCACCTAGTTCACGCGTCAATACATATTATTTTAGAGTCATACATTATAATAAATTAATTAATCCTAAACAACCTTACTTCGTCACATGTAATCATATACTCTCATATCTCATATCCGTATTGTTTCTCTATTTTTAAAAAAAATAAAAGGATATTTATTTTAAAAATATTCTTCTTCGAAAATAGATATTGGAAAAAAAACGAATGTGATCAGTGGAATATATTTTTATCATCAGTATGCTTTTATAGAGATAAAAATAAAATATTATATAATTCTAAAGTTGAAAATGAATACGTTGAAAAAGAGAGAAAGAGAAGAGATCGGGGAAAATTCTTTCTCATACTCGGTAAAATTTCTTATTGATTGTTCTTATTGGATTCCTTCGACGTATATAAGAGGAAGATAATAATTCCTTTACCGATGGTTCTCCTTCTTCCTTCCTTCTTTCCTTATTTTCTTCTCTCACTCTGTCTCTTCCTTTCTTTTTCGCAGTTGGAGAGTAGAATTATTATTTCATCGAATTAAAGATTTTAATATTTAGTTTAGACTTTAGAGAAAGGATCCTTGAATTATGCATGCCAATTCGAAGAATAATTTCAAGTATTTCTGGCCAACACGTTCTGGCCAAGATGATCTTCTTTTTAACTAAGAGGTAAAAAAGAAAAGAAAAAAAAAAAAAGAAAAAATAGCTTCTCAAGCTTTTCATCTAACATAAGCTCAACGATGTTCCAAGTTTAAGAGTTCCATTCGCATTTTCTCTTTCTATCTTTCTTTCTTCCCTTCCTTTCCTACTTTTTATTTCTCTACTTTATATCTTATTCCTTTTTAAATCTCCCGCGAGACAGCAGAACGAAATGTTTCTGTCTCATTCTTATCTATGAAATAATAACCACTCTAGTTTACTAACACTATCAACGTAGGCAATAGCTTTTGTTCATTTTCCCGTTGAAGGTTCTATTTTCAAAACTAAATTATTATACAATGCGAGCGAATGTATAAGCGTAAAACTTGGAATATTAACTCTTATTGTTAGAGATATAATATTCCTTACGAAATCATTAAGAAAATTAAAGAATAATCATTGGAAAATTATGATTATGATAAATGTTAGATATTTTCGGTGGATTCAAAGTTGTTACCAAGTTTATATCCGAAGAGAACGGGGGTTTGGTGGGAGAGAGAGAGAGAACACACGTTGTTGTCAGAATTGCGATCGTGATCCGAATTTTTATCTATACTTACTACTTATCTTTTGCAAAGATATCTTAGATATTTTTCTTGAAAAAAAAAACAAAAAAAGAAAAAAAAAAGAAAAGGGGGAAATGAGAAATTGATGGAACGTCTAATAATGGTGTTGGTGGTTAGTAAGAAGGAATAAGAGTGTAGTAGTATAGTATTATATCACGTTCGAGTGTATATCCCTCCTAAAATCGAGCAAAACGAGGGCCATTCGTATAATACGGATAAATCTGGCTAGAAAGCTCGATTTCTTAGTCTGTTTCTTTCACGCAAAGGACCACCACCAACATCACCACCCATCGAGGTCGTAAAAGCTCTACCAGATGTTGCCTGATACACTTTCGATAACACCCACGCCGATAATAATTTCATTCCGACAATTTCCAGTTCTAATATGTTTTAGAATTTCTCGATTACTCTCTTTCTCTTTTCATCTTTTTAACTTCCTTTTGAAAATATTATATATTTCTCTTTTTTTTTCTTATTTTTATTTCTAAGCCACAATAAGTAACATAATTTTCATACGATTTTATTCTTTCTTTCTTTCTTTATTTCTTTCTTTTTTTTTTTTTTTTTTTTTTTTTTATTTAGGACTTAAGATAGCAAACATTTGTCGAAAATAAAATTGTTTTTAGTATTTTATTTGAACTATAACAAACATATTCTTATATTACTTTCTTGGGGTCATTTGAAATTGCTTTTTTTCTTTATCCTTTCTTTCTATTCTTTCTTTTTATTTGTATTTTATTTTCTTTTTTTTTTTCCCTTTTCGACTGAAGTATACCCTCCTCCTTCGTGTTATCCGATTGATCTCACTTTTCTGTTCGAATTCTATATAATATTTGTACGTGGTTGGCACCTAACATAACAAGACCGATTCCTAGCACTTAAATACTCGAGGAGACGAACCAACATTTAGAAATGTGTTTTTCCCATTTATCCAGAGGAGGAGACGTTTGTTAAAAAAGCACAAGGTTGCTGCATTTACGAGTAACGAAAATAGTTACAGACCTTGGCAAAAAGGATGGGATATAAGTACGGGGGGGGGAGAGAGAGAGAGAGAGAGAGAGAGAGAGAGAGAGAGAGAGAGAGATGTTTGAAAATAAAAATAAAAATAAAAAAAAGGAAAATATTAATTATCGAACTTGTCGGGGCGTAACACACAACGCGTACAAAGATTTATAGTAGTAGTGAAATTTTCTGCTAACCTCGGTAACCCATTTGTCATACTCGAGAATATTTCAAAGTTGGTGAATTTAAAACGCACGCACACATATATTGTATACACATTAAATAAAGTTAATATTTAATATAAATGAAAAATAACTTACCGATCTATCGATATAGCCATCAAAGTGAAGACACTAGCACAAATTGTGAGTACCGCAATGAATTGGCAAATCTTACAGTAAAGTGTACCAAACGGCCAATGACTGTTGAGCATGTAAATGTAATTAAATGTAACGTTCAACGTAGACACCATAGCATCGGCTATACTTAAATTGACCAAAAAGTAATTGGTCACGGTGCGCATTTTTTTGTGCGCCAATACTATCCATATCACTATTAAATTTCCACCGGTTGCTACGATGATCATACCGGCGAATAGTAAACTCCATATAATTTGTCTCCACCATGGCAGTACGAATTGATTTCTCAATTCGAGATCCGTCAAATTCGTATTGTTTATACATTCCCCACATGACAGGTTGAAGGTATAATTGTCGAACCACAGTAACGATGTATTCCAAGGATAATTGTTTGTTAAATTCAATGTATTTTCCAACGACTGCATCACGAATTTATTCTTCTCTCTTATCTTTTTTTGTTTTCTTCTTTTCTTCTTTTCTTTTTATTTTCTTTTTTTTTTTTAATTTCGATGTGCGTCGTCAACGATATTCATTCGATATAATTTTATTCGAAAGTAATTAGATTAGATCGTTGGAGAAAAAATTGTCAATGTATTTTTCAATATTAGTCCGCATGATTTTATTATTTTTATTGGCAAGAATTATCGAACACTTTCGTTTGAATTTTCGACGATCATTGTTTCAACGTATTCGATACACGTAGCCATGATTTTAAATCGCATAGTTCAACGCGAAGACAATTTTTCAGCAACATGATAGATATTATTAAACACGAAAAACGAATAATTAATTGTGATTCTTTTATAAATTCACACACACACACACACATTCACTTTAACGAATATATTATTCTCGCGTTTCGAAAGGAATAAAATGGAACAACAATTATGTGAAATTATTTTCAACGGGTAAACAAAATAAACGCAACACTCGTTTTTAATATAAATTGAAAAAAGAAAAAAAGGAACTGCTGGGCGCAAAAATATAATTTTGTAAATGATTAATTTAACATTTTTATAAAACTTAGATCACGTTTTTCATTATAATTCCACGTTGATAATATCAAATACGATCTGATTGATGATTCACTATACTGAGGATGGTGGGTGCATTGATTATAAGCCAAAAGAGGCCATCCTTTTTCTTCTTTTTTCTTCACTTCCGTTTCATGCACGACTAACCATTAATGGCCGGCCAGTTGTTCTCTCGTCTCGATTCGTTGGGTTCGTTCAATCAGTATTGTTTCCATAGATTAATATTTTCTCTTGTAAAGATGAACCTAATCGAATTATCCACTTTGACTTTTTCCTTTTTTCCTTTTTCTTTTTTTTTTGCTTCTTTTGTATCCTTTCGTTCTTTAACGTGTTACTGTCCGTTAAAGAATATTTTAATCAATTGTTCATCCAACATTTCTTTTTTTTTAACTCCGATATTGAATATTAACCAATTCATATATCTAGAGAAATTATTTTCTATAATTTTTGTTCATTGGTAAAGTTAGATTTCGGTTAATGCAAATACGTTATAAACGTTAATGATATTTTATTAACGATTGATCGTTAATTGTAATCTAATCGATTAGATGTAATAAAGAAAAGAATATTAATATTCTTTTATTTTCTTCACTCGACGTTCGTAAACAAGAAATAATTTTTCTTCTCGATTGGTAAGGGTATAAATTAAATAGGATCATCTAATGGATTCCCCCTTTTTTTTTTATCGACTTCCGTTGATCTTTCATTTATCTTATTTCTATATAACTCAATGTCACTCCTATAATTTCTTTTTCCCACGAAAGTAAACATATATAAAGGCGGATTGTATTTTTTAGAAAAATCAAAGTCTTTATCATCGTTCGATGAAACCACTTCTATTATTGATTATCGATAAATCCTTCTGTTTTTTTTTTTTTAATTTTGTCTTCTTCTATTTTAATAGAAATTTTTACGAACAAACATAGACAATGACAATTTCATATCACACTTTCGATCCTTTAGAATATTTTCAATATCTTGTTTTACTATTTGTTCTTTTCTCTCTCTCTCTCTCTCTCTCTCTTTTTCTTGCACTTAAAAAGTTACACTTATCTGTCCGACTTTTGAAAATCTTCTCTACGTTTCAAGAAGGAAAAGAAGAAGTAGAAGAAAAAAAATACATTCGGAGTCTTTTTCGAGTGTTTTTTCTTTTTTTAAATTCCACTAAAGAAATAAGGAAAAGAATTTGTCTATTAGAAAGGTTTCAACTAGATGATTACTTTTCAAAGAAGAAATGTTATAGATTGATTTGTAAATCGGATAGTAGATACACAAAGGTAGACACGCATACACACATTTACACCACACCAACGCGTTTCACGACAAATAGCAGCATCAGAAGGATATGGACGGCATATATATATATATATATTTTCTGTCGTTCGATCCTTGAGCTTCATAAGAATTTCCAAGATGAACTTCTAAGATCTTCTACGAATAAATCTTCAATGGTTAACTTCAATGGGAAACGCGTTCCTTTCTTTTTCCCTTGGAGTCCATTCAAGCATTTCAACACGTTCGCAATTTTCCGAAGAGCTTCGACCGGTTTGACCTGGAACATAAATTATGAAGATTAAGTGGTACCTATATATATATACATTCTTTTATTTTATATTTATTTTCTTTTCTTTTATTTTTTATTTATTTTTTTCTTCTCATCCAATAATTCGTGTCCCTTTCCTTTTTCTCTGTCGTAGATTAAAATAATTTGATTTAATGAAATTATTATATAAAATAAATAAATAATAAATAATATATTTTAATTTGATTAAAATAATTATTGATTTATAATGAAAATAATAAATCATAAATATAATTAATTTGAGATTAAAATATAATTTGATTTAATTAATTAATATATGAAGAAGATATAAATATTAATGAAGCCTTTAGTTTAAGGTATGCATTGATAGCAATATCGTTCGATAAAAAATATTCACTTGTACATACGGGCTTTTTTTATTTGTTATAACGAATTTTATTAATCTTATGATTGATATATAATTTTCTTCGATTATTTTGGCTATTTTAAATCAATTTTAAAAATATTCATCTAAGTTGAATTTAATAATTTCAATTAGGTTTGACTATATAAAGATTAGGATAATTCATATTCTTTCGTAATTGGTATCTTTTTTAACGATATTAATTACATTTCATTAAACAAGTTAAATGATCTCCTATTAAGACTTGTTATTTATTATCACGACGATTAATTGTATATAATATTAAAAAAAAGTAAAAATAATGTAAATGATTAAAAAGAAGTGAAAGGTGAACGAAACGAGAAAACAAATTCAACGATTACGTTTGACTTTGTCTCGTGAGGAATTTAATTATAAAACTGGACCGAGGAGGGGTACTTGATCGTTTAAATCGAAATAACACGTTGATTGGTGGTCCTCCGTCATTTTTGACATGCCTCTATTCTATCTATCTTTCTATTAAATTAATTCCGATAATATTTGTTGTTGTTGTTGTTCCTCTAAATGATCACGTTCATTGCTATCACGACTAGTGAAATAAAATCGACGTTATTGCATCCATAAAAAAGGAGACAGATATATGTAATCGAAGTGTACACGTTAAAAACGAAGTTGAAAAACAAGTTGAAACAGAAAAAAATTAAAAAAAAATGTTTGATATCGTAAAATAATTCTTTAGATGCATATACCTTCGAGTTAGATATCATTTTATGAAAATGTGGATATTCAAATACCTACTTGACACAATTGGTGTCTTATTCCTTATTTCTATGGTGTATAAGTTTCTATATTTATTATAATACGGGAAAGATAGTGAAAAGGGTTGTGAAGTACACCTGAACAAATTCACATTTTCATCGTGTGCAAATAATGAGCATAAATATATTTATTCGTTTATTTAATTTTTAATTATTTTAACGACTATATATTGCAAGAAAAATGCATGAAAATATTAGATTTTTCCTTTTTTAATTCTTTAAAAATAATTTTTAGAGAATATACGCACGAATCTTTTGCACGAACTATTCGTATATGGGTCATTGGAAGTGTAAAGGTTAAAGGATCAGTTTTTGTAAACGATTAATAGTTTAATCGTAATAACCACCATTGATTTTTAATTAGAATCTCAGAATTAATTGGGGAAAAATGTTACGTTAAGAATTACGAAAGAAATTAATTGTTGGATAGTTTTTGGATAGCGTAGCCAGGTTATTTATTTTCAGATATTCCAGAATAAATATAGATGAGACAACAGACCCTTTTTTTTTTTTGTTTTTTTTTAACAAAACGTCCAAAAAGATGATTACAGTCACTGTCAAGTATTTTATGATCTGAATATCGAAAAGCTTCGTTATGTTTAATCTGGGACAGTTGGTTGGTTCTACGTTTTATTTCAAGTGCATACGTAAAATCGTAAAGAAGGAATTTTAAAGGAATACCTGTGTAGGGCAAATTATTTAATGGAATAAAAGAAAAGAAAATAACATAATAATGATTTGTGTCTTGTTAATTTCATTATTTTCCAATTTTTCTTCTCCACGATCTTCACTTAAGAATATCGGGCAAAATTTTTTCTTTAGATTTATTTATTTTATTTCTCACACGATGACACGGGATTGCATCTTTTCGTAAGAATTGCGAGTAACTGTTTCTTCTCTTCCACTTCGTGGAAAACGTTGAAACACGTACGTGGTTTGGTTTAGCGATAAGGTACTGAAAAATTTCTAGGATTATTTTATTTCTCTCATGTGTGACAGGGTCACTCTCTCTTCTTACTTTTTTCCTACAGACAAATACTGGATTTTGTCTTTCAGACTGAAGAACTTAATCAAGAGAGTTTTTCATTCATCTTTCAAAGCTCTCTAATAAACGAATGATTAAATTAAAAAAAAAAGAAATTCATTTTAAATGAAAAGTTATAGTAGAATAACGTTTTTTAAAAATTGACTCTATATATAAGATAGTGAAAACTTATGACTGTAATAAAAATGATGTTATATTGACTYATGAACATAACTATCAAGTTGCTGAGGAAGTCTCAAATAGAGACGAAACGTTCAACGGATAAATATAGTGTTCATCTTAATTAAACCCGTCCAAAAAACAACTTCCCTAAGAGTAAACTTAGTAATAATTTTTAAATAATATTTACATACACAGAGTTTTAATTTCATCAAGTTTACCTTGGCCACCACTTAAGGGTTGCATAAGAGTTTCGTATTAAAGCCATAATATATTTGCAAAACTTGCCCAGTTAGATCTGGCTATTAGAAAAGAAAAACTAGTCTTGCTATATCAAAAATTCTTGTCCAGCATCCATAAATTGTAATTGAAATAAAATTTTCTTCATCATAAATCTAAGAGAGTTTTCTAATTATAATAAAATATTATTTTTTAATTGCACGAATTATACTTCTTACACAGCAATCATAATAATATCTGACACATTACTTTTGGATGATCAGAAATGAATGACAAAAAAAAGAAAATATATTAGGGAAAAATAATTAAAATGAAATATGTCTTTTCTACGAGTGTTTCACAAGTAAATATAGAATGATATAATAATATTAATTATATTAATGATGAACCTGGCGTGTTTCCGTAAGCATCGAGGGCACACGTGAAACGTAACGTTGCGGTGGGACGATGGCCGTTGAAAATAAAGCAATTAATGGTTGAATGTGTTTCTGCCATCTGAAAATAGCCGGTGATCGATGAGGGCGGTGGGGTGAGGTGGGGTTAGTGGGTAGAGGTGGGTGGGTGTTTGGGTGGGTGTTTAGGTGGGTTTTTGGGTGGTTGTTCAGAATAGGGGATGAGGAAAAGGTGG